CCACACCCCTTCCTTTCTTATTCATTCCCAAGATCTCACATTAAGAACATAAATAACTTTAAAAATCCTAAGGTCTTTTTTTTTTTTTTTTTTTTTTTTTGCTAAACAGAGTTTCTCTGTGTAACAGCTCTGGCTATCTGGCTATCTTGGAACTCCCTCTGTAGACCAGGCTGGCCTCAAACTCACAGAGATCTGCCTGCCTCTGCCTTCTGAGTGCTGGGATTAAAGGTGTGCACCACCACTGCCTGGCAAGTCCCACAGTCTTTACAAATTCAAACATACTAAAATTTTAGTAACCAATCTTTTAAAATCCGAGGTCTTTCAGAAGTCAAAGTCTCTCAACTGTTGGATCCAGTTATATCTTCTTGGTTCAAGAGGGGAAAATCAGGGCATAGTCACAATCAAAGCAAAACAAAATTCCAGCTGTCCAATCTCTGCGATCCACTCAAGACCTTCTGGACTCCTACAAGGGCTCGGGGCTTTCCTCCTGCTCTGCCCTCTGCAGCACACACGGCTTGTGTTCTGGGCTCCAGCTGGCTCCACTCCACTGCTGATGCTGTTCTTGGCGGTCATCCCATGATGCTGGCATCTCCAAAATGCTGGGGTCTTCTGCAACTGGGTTGCACTTTCACCAATAGCCTCTCATAGGCTCTCCTCATGGTGCCAAGCCTCAACTTCTTTGCAAGACCCTTTCAGTCCTGGGCCTTCAACCACCACGGAGGGAGGCTGTGCCTTCACCAGGGGCCTCTCCTGGCCTCTCTCAGTGCCAAGCCTCAACTGCTCCCCTTGACCCCTCGTGTCTTCAAAACCATACCATCTGGATGATGCTTACACATTACCAAGTCTGGCTGCCAGCACGAGGCACAACTTTGATCACCTCTGGAACACAGCTTCTCTGTGCTCTCAGGAAACACTTCCCAGAAGATTTCACCCCAGTGACGTGGGTCTCTTCTTAATCACCACGAATTTCTTAGCCCCAGCTGCTAAGTATTCCAGCAAAGCAAATTTCACCTAAGTAGTTCCAGTATCTTGTTAACCGCAGCTGATTCTTCGGACCCAGCTAACCAGAACCTCAGAACCGTAACTCAAAATAACAAATGGCCCTGACAGAGTCTTTAAACTTCACTCTGAAATTGTGCAAGCCAGGTCTCCATCTTCTACACTGCTCTCAATGTTCTTGTCTTCCCGGCTCCCACAGAACACCCCTCTGAGCTCTCAACACTCAGTGGCTTTTCTAACCCAAAGTTCCAGGTCCTCCCACAATCCTCCCCAAAACATGGTCAGGGCTTTCACAGCAACACCGCCCCCCCCCCATGCTGGCACCAACTTGTCTTAGTTAGGGTTTCTTTTTTTAAAAAAAATATTTATTATGTATACAATATTCTGTCTGTGTGTATGCCTGCAGGCCAGAAGAGGGCACCAGACCCCATTACAGATGGTTGTGAGCCACCATGTGGTTGCTGGGAAATTGAACTCAGGACCTCTGGAAGAGCAGGCAGTGCTCTTAACCTCTGAGCCATCTCTCCAGTCCCTAGTTAGGGTTTCTATTGCTTCAATGAAACACCATGACCAAAAGCAGGTTGGGGAAAAAAGGGCTTATTAGGTTTACACCTCAGCACTGCTGCTCATCGCTGAGAAAAACTACAGACACACTGGGAGGGGCAGAGTGTGGCTCAGTGGTGGAGTGCTTACTAGCGTGAACTAGGTTGCCTGAGACACACTCCCAAGAATTCATCCATATTCCCAAGTGTCTATTTTTGGTTTCCGTGCTTGAGATCAAAGCTGGGACCTGGACAATATTTGGCAGGGGCTTTCCCATCCCACCTACTGCATCCAGTCCTGATACTTAGTCCTTGAAATGGTCCTCCGTTTTTTTTGTTTTTGTTTTTGTTTTTGTTTGTTTTTTTCTTGTTTGCTTATTTGACTGTAGCTTTAAGATGAGTCTTATTGCCTGGTGGTAGTGGCAGAGGCAGGCACTATGAGTTCACTCCAGCCTGGTCTACATAGTGTATTCCAGAGCTACATAATAAGAAAGACCCTGCCTCGAAAAACAAAACAAAACAAAACAGATGAATCTTCTTATGTATTCTGGGCTGGCTTTGAATTTGTAATTCTCCCACCTCTGACTCTAAAGCACTGAAATCACAGGCATGCTCGACCATGTCTGAGCAAAATTACCACCCAACTCTCAAAACAAGAAATCAGAAGAAAAACATATTTCCGTCCTTTCCTAGAGCCAGTCATAGACACGTAGGCAAGTCCCACTTGGCCTTAAATGTGCAGGATGAATAACATGTCCGAATGATGTTACCCTGACAGCTTGAGGTCAGGGACCCCACAACCACAGAACTCTCTAGATATGCGTCTGGTGTTTTGTCAAATTGCAGCATGGAAACCCTATCACCTGCAGGCACATGTACCGTGGAAGTTTTACATTTCATTCATATAACTAAAGTTTTGTTGACCAAAAGTGGCTGAGGTGTCCCCAAGGCAGTGGTTTGGCAGTTTGGCCTCCCCAAACTCACCCTTCACTCTGTGTCTGACTTCCCGAGGGCAGAGGCGATTCAGCCACCCACACCAGATCAGTATCACTGAAGGCTGATGGTCCCTCATCCTGGAAAACAATTTTCCACTTTACAAAGCACTTTTGCAAGCGTTATCTCGGGATCCACAGCCCTGTGATGGAGGCAGGCTGTTTACTATTCTTATCTATCTTTTACAGATGAAGAAACCCAGGCTCAAAGAGGTTGGTTACCTGACTTATTAAAGGAGGTGCAGGCACGGCCTGATGAGCTGGGCTAGGAGCTCTGGCTTCCATCAGATGGAAAATGCACTCCCTCCCTTTGCACCCTCCCTCTGCACTCCCTCCCTCTGCACCCTCTCTCTACACTTCCTCTGCACTCTGCCCTGCCTGCTGCTGGCCTGCATTCTTAAAGAGATCCTGGTGCCCCTGAGCATCTATCCCTCCACCTGCACCGTTGCAGAACTCACTGTACCTTGAGAAGTCAAGGACTGCTGAGAAGCCAATCATGATGTCACTGTATCTAGGCACTGAGGCACTGCATGGATTTCAGAGATCCTCTCTGACATCCTAGGAGCTGGAGGGTGCTAGTTTTAATGTCAATTTGAAGCAGCTTAGACTCATTTTGGAAAAGGAATCCTTAATTGAAAAAAAAAAAAGTGTCCACTAGCTTGACCTATGGGCAAGTCTGTAGTATATTTTTATTAAGTAGTGATTGATATGGGAGGGCTCAGTGCCACCCCTGAACAGGTGGCCCTAGGTGATGATATAAGAAGGCAAGCTGGCTGGGCAGTGGCAGCACATGCCTTTAATCCTAGTACTTGGGAGGCAGTGGCAGGCGGAACTCTTTGAGTTCGAGGTCAGCCTGGTCTACAAGAGCTAGTTCCAGGGCAGGCTCCAAAACTACAGAGAAACCCTGTCTCAAAAAACAAAAAACGAGAGAGAGAGAGAGAGAGAGAGAGAGAGAGAGAGAGAGAGAGAGAGAGAAAGAGAGAACACGCAAGCTGTAGCTAAGTAGTGGTGTGTATGCCTTTAATCCTAGCACTTAGGAGACAGAGGTAAGCTGGTCTACAGAGCTAGTTCCAGGACAGCCAGCGCTACACAGAGAAAGCCTGTTTGGAGCGAGTGGGGGAAGAAGCTGAGCGAATCCTGAGAAGTTAGCCAGTAAGGAGCACTCCTCCATAGCCTCTGTCAGCTTCTGCCTCCAGGTCCTTTGGTTTCTGCCCTGACTTCCCACATGGTGGACCACAAGCTGTAAGATGAAATTAAACCCTTTCCCCCACAAGTTACATTTGATCATGGTGTTTTAATAGACACCTAATTAAGACTAAGACTCCTCACCTGCCCTCCAGAATAGGAATTATCATTTCTGTTTTACCAAGGAGGAAGCAGTTCCAGATAACTAGCTTGCCAAAGTGACCTGGGTACTTCGAAAAATTATTTGTGCTCTCTCTCTCTCTCTCTCTCTCTCTCTGTCTCTCTCTCTCTCTCTCTCTCTGTGTGTGTGTAGACTAGAGGTCAATAGTGGGGCCTCTTCCTCAAAACTGATCTCTACCTTTCTTTTTTCTTTTCTTTTTTTTTTGTTGATGTTTCCATTGTAAATTTTCTTTTTTTTATTGTTACTATTAGTGCATGTATGTGTGTGCACATTTGAATCCCACAGCTTGCATGGAGAGGTCAGAAGATAACGCGGTGGCGTTATTTTCTCCCCTTCTACCTTCACGTGAGTTCTGGGGGTTGAACTCAGGTCACCGATCCTGCTGGCAAGTGCCTTTAGCAGCGGAGCCATCTCGTCAGCCTCTTCCTTCATCTTTGCAGAACCTGGAGCTTCCTGATTCAGCAAGGCTAGGTGGCCAAGGAGACCCAGGGACTCTCCAGTGCTGGGATTCCAAGGCTGCCCCGTGACAGCCGGCTTTTTGTGTGGGTTCTGGGAGGTTCCCCTCAGGTCTCCACGCTTGCACAGCACATGCTTCACTCTTTCTTTACTTTTTATTTATTTATTTATTTAATGCACATTGGCGTTGTCTTAGGGTTTTTATTGCTCTGAAGAAACATCATGACCATGACAACTCTTATAAAGAGAACATTTCTTTGGGTGGCTCACGTAGAGTTTCAGAGGCTCAGCCCATCATCATTGTGGCAGGAAGCATGGCGGTGTGCTGGCAGCTGTGGTGCTGGGGCTGAGAGTGCTACCTCTTACTGGCAACAGGAAGTCAATGGAAGGTCACACTAGTGAAACTTGAGAAAAGAGACCTCAGAGCCCGCCCTCGCAGTTACAAACTTCCTAATAGTGGCTCTCCCTTTGGGGCCATTTTTTTTCCCAAACCTCCATAGATGTTTTGCCTGCATGTATGTCTGTGAGAAGGTAGGGTGTCTGATCCCTCAGAACTGGAGTTACAAGACAGTTGTGAGCTACCACGTGTGTTGGGAATTGAACCCCGGGTCTGTGTGGAAGAGCAGCCCAGTGCTCTTAACCACTGAACCATCTCTCCAACCTGTTATATGCTTTTTTTGATGACATCATCTCCCCAGTCCTAAAAATTTCCCAGCGTTGTTGGGAATGGTTCATGGTGCCCAGGTGCTGGCTCCCTCACCAGCTGTTTGTATATTGACTATGAGCTGCAAGCCCAGAGTCTGAAAATTCTGGGGAGGAAAACCTGTTCTTTATGGAACATACTTCTGAGGATTCACGTCAGAGCCAGCAAGGGTTTGACTGACATCAAACAGATCCAGAAAGTTCCTAGAAGGTACCAAAGCTGTAGCGGAGTAGGCAGAGCCGCACTATGTCTGTCTGTCCCACAATGCCAAAGGAAACTGCTTTTCTCCCAGTATTCCTTTGGAGGTCTTGGCAGGTGGTGCTTACCATCTCTCATGACAGAAAATGGGGTGAGGGACAGGGGGTGTGTGTGGCTCATTTGGTAAAACACCTGCCGTGCGACCATGAGGACCTGAGTTCAGATTCTGCACACCTACCTAAGAGGGAAGGCTCTGATTCTGGCACTGGAGGAAGAGCTGAGGCAGGAGGATCTCTGGAGGTAGCTGACCCACTAGTCGAACCAGGTGGTGTGCTCCAGGTGCAGGGGAGACTCAGTCTCAAAAACTAGGTGGAGGGGCTGGAGAGGTGGCTCGGCAGTGAAGAGGACTTGTTGCTCTTCCAGAGGATCTGAGTTCAGTTTCCAGTACCCATGTCAGGCAGCTCACAACAGCATATAACTCTGTTTCAGGGGATTAACCATCTTCTAGACTCTGCTGGTAAACACACACACACACATAAATAAAAATTTAAAAACGGAAGCATCTTTGGCCTCCTCCAATACACTCCCCCCATACACATAGGCACATATCCACATGAGCATATACATTGTACATACATGGAAAGAAGGAAGCATAGAAGGAAGGAGGAAAGGGGTATAGCTTGCTTAAGGTTACATAACCCTAGTAATGGGGGTTCTTGAAGCCAATTTTGTATCTCCTGGCTACCAGGCAACCTGTCTCTCCTCTCTTTCTTTTTCTCCATCCTGGCATTTACTAGACGATTCTACAGACCCAACTCAGATTCTCCAGATCAATCGAAGCCCCAGGCCTGCAGGATGAAAGCAAGGTTAGAGCCCAGAGCAGCCACGTTGCATCTGCTGGAATGTGCTGGATATGAGAGATTCTGCTCCAACTGGAGAAATCACAGCACGGTTGGAATGGAAATGCACAGTCATCCAAACAGCGAGTATTGGGCCACACCCTGCTCCCGCCTCAGCCCACAGGCAGGGCACACTGTGTACTGAACCTTCTAGCCAAGGGCTGTGCTTGCCAAGTTGAGGCAAGGGTTGCTGTCCCAGGAACTTACGCCATCTCTTGGGTAGATCCCAAGGTTGTCAAGGGGAATAATGTACGGGTGGGCATAGTGGGGCTCAGAGTAGAAGACAGGCCAGACTATCAGGAATCTAATGCCCTGAGCAAGGTGTGGGCAAGCCACCTGGCTTTTTATTGATCCATCGAGTAATTTATTCTCACATATCCCCTCAACGGCAGTCCTGGCTCTAGGTTCAGTGCTGAATCAAGCTTACCCTCATGAGGCTCCCAGCTGGCTGTGGGGCCCATCTGCATCAACTTGCCTACTGGATGGTTCTGGATGGGGCCATTCATCTGTAGTGTCAGTGACTGGTAATGTATGTTGGGTCTGTCACCACCTTCTCTTCCATAACTCTCCATTTCTCTTGGAATTTTTGAGAAGCCTTGGGAAATGTGAAGGTCCTTGGGAAATGGCTCAGCAGTTAAGAGTACTTGTTGTTCACACCAAGGACCCAGGTTTGATTCTCAGCATCCATGGGACAGTTCACTGCTGCCTCTAACTCCAGTTTCAAAGGACGGATGCCCTCTTGTGGCCTCTATGTGTCTGCAGTACCCATTGCAGACACATGATGCACAGACAGACATGCAGGTAAAACACCAGTACACATAAATAAACCTTGAGAATAAAAAAGAAAAAGCCCGGTAGAGCGTCCTTCTCACCCACCTGCTCCCTCTCGCTTTCTACTTGCTGTCTGATAGTCATGTTTCTTCCTGGCACAGGGCCATTATACAGGCCTCTCTTTTTTCTTGGTTGTTCCTTTCTGTCAAACAGATATCCAGGTGAAGCTCAAGATCCCTCCTCCTGATGTCACACCCTTAGTGTGAGTGATGTGACGTCACACCCTCAGCCTTCTTCCTAACCAATAGAATACAGCAAAGGTGCAGGAGGCCGTTCCTGTCCTTAAGTTAGACTTTTTATGGTCAGTCCATACTCTGCTTACTGGCGGAGGGGGCATAGGTGTTCCCTTTATATCGTCCCTAAAAAAGTCGCACAACAAGCTCAGAAGCAGAGCATTCACCTAGAAAATGCTGTAGTCCCGGATCTGTGTCCAGTCCCTGCCCCCTGGTCACTGACTTGAAAGAAGGAAGCTGTCTGTTGAATGGAGTCCCAGCACTGTAGTAGCTCTGGCCTTATATCTTGCTTCAACATGGGGGGGGGGGGCGCTCTGAGCCAGGTTTGCCTGAATTCTGCTGTAGACTTTGAGCCGCATAAATTAGGGAGCTTGACAATCAGGGATGGGAGTTTTCAAACAAACGGCTGCTCTGAATCACCCATGATCCTCCAGGTCACTGGGACAAATTCATCTGATCACCAAATTTTAGCCATCAGAATATTTCTTTGGTCTTTACCTTCCTCATTTAGGGGTAAATAGATCTCTCTGACTTTCTCGGTCTCTCTGTCTTTGCCTGCCTGCCTACCTGCCTCCCTCCCTCTCTCCCTCTCTCTCCCCCCCCTCCCTCTCTCTCTCTCTCTCTCTCTCACACACACACACACACACACACACACACACACACACACACACACAAGATCTCGTGTAGCCCCGACTAGTTTCTAACTCCCTCTGTGGCTGAGGCTGGCTTGTAACTCCAGATCCTGCGGCCTCCACCTCCTCAGTGCCAGGCTTGCAGGGATGACCACTATGGCTGTAGCTGGTTTTCTTGTTCGTTGGTTTTTGTTTTGGAGACAGGATTTTACTGGAGCACAGGTTGTCCTGGAAGCTCACAGTCCCGGGTCAGCTTTTGTAGCACTGGAATTTTAGGTGTGAGCCACCAAGCCCAGCCCAACAAATGTTTTTGTTTTTAATGTTTCCTCAAAAAATAAATAAATAAATAAATAAAAAATCCTGAAACAAGTTCAGCGGTAGAACATTTACCTAGCAAGAACAGGCTCTGGAGTTTGATGGAGGTATGTGTGGCACGAACCAAACCAACACAGCAAGGCGCTTGACTCCATGAGTTCTACATCTGCCAGGAGGTTTAATCCTGCCAACAACCAGAGTGAACATGGAACTCATCCCTCCTCAGTCAAGCCTCCTGACTGGCACCTTCCCCGATGCCCTGCAAAGGACCCTCTGTGCAGAAATAGCTGGAGTGTAAACTGCCTTGTGTTAAGTGCACTGCCCTCTCATCTTCCAAAAGCCGTGTGAACTTGGCCCTTCGCCCTATCGGTACCTATAGGTACCCATGCTCCTCTTTCTTTCTTCCTTGTTGCTACCCCATCTAGAGTCCTTTCCTGGGACAGCTCCAAGGTCCAGTGTTTCCTGGGCAGCTCTCAGGGCACAGGAGCCTGTCCCCAACATAACCAGTTCTAACTGTGTCACTGTTTATCCACCATCTAACCTGTCACCAAAAGTAGATCCTATGAGAGCAGGCTATGTGTTCTCTGCTCTGCACTGCTGGGGCCCAGCACAGTGACTGGCGTGTACAGCTACCCATCTTGTATCTTTCTCTTTTAAAATTACATCTATCTATCTATCTATCTATCTATCTATCTATCTATCTATCTATCTATCTATCTATCT